GGCCGAATCAGCTTCAAGCACGAGAATGGATCTGCGAGTAGGCGGAAAGTACCGCTTAGGGAAGAAGATCGGCTCGGGCTCTTTCGGTGAGCAATAGCTCGTCATCGTCCTGCTACAAGCTTTTTTCGGCTGCTAACTTGCTTCCTCGTTGTCTCGCCTTTCTGTCGGTAGGTGACATTTACCTCGGAGTCAACATCATTTCTGGTGAAGAGGTCGCCATCAAACTCGAGTCCGTCAAGGCAAAGCACCCTCAGCTCGAATACGAGGCCAAAGTGTACAAGACCTTGGCTGGTGGTGTCGGTGTACCCTTTGTTAGATGGTTCGGAACCGAGTGTGACTACAACGCGATGGTCTTGGATCTGTTGGGACCTTCTCTCGAAGATCTTTTCAACTTCTGCAACCGCAAGTTCTCGTTGAAGACGGTGCTTCTGCTGGCGGATCAGCTCGTGAGTCTTGAATTTTATTTACCCCTTTCCTCGGTGGCTGCTTGCATCACCTCCTGCAATCCCCTTGCCAATGACGTACACATCAAGCCCCATTGTCTATGAGCGCTTATGCTGATTAATTGATCATTATCGGTTTTCAGATTTCCCGCGTTGAATATATCCACTCTCGCAACTTTATTCACCGAGATATCAAACCAGACAACTTCCTCATGGGCATTGGCAAGCGCGGCAACCAAGTCAACGTCATTGACTTTGGTCTAGCCAAGAAGTACCGAGACCCCAAAACCCATCTCCACATTCCCTACAGAGAGAACAAGAATCTCACGGGAACCGCTCGATACACCTCGATCAATACCCATTTGGGCGTTGAACAGGCTCGTCGTGACGATCTCGAATCCCTCGCATACGTCCTTATGTACTTCCTTCGTGGCCAGCTCCCTTGGCAAGGTCTGAAGGCGGCCACCAAGAAGCAGAAGTACGACCGGATCATGGAGAAAAAGATGACGACGCCGACTGATCTCCTCTGTCGTGGCTTCCCGAACGAATTCGGCATCTTCCTCAACTACTGTCGCGCGCTCCGCTTCGATGACAAGCCCGACTACTCGTACTTGAGGAAGTTATTCCGTGACCTGTTCGTCCGAGAGAGCTTCCAGTACGACTATGTATTCGACTGGAGTGTGCAGCAAAGGAGCACGGAGCAGGAGGCTGCGGCTGTTGCGGCGGCATCGGGACAGGTTAAAGCTCCGGCGCGTAGAAAGGTCTTGGGGGAGGAAGATCCTGAGCAGGCCAGGATCAATACGTCGGAGAGACAGTGAGTTGAGCACCCTTCCCATTACACCTTGTGGCGACCGAGGAAATGATTCTGATATTAGGTACTGATATGGCAGGCTTCGCAGTCAGACCCGTCAGATGACCGCTCAGGCTACCGGTTCGGGCGCTCAACGACCCATGCGCAGGGACGAGTACGGCAACTACTCGTAAACGATTCAACCCACCCATCGCTCCGGCGGTCATCGGCTTCTTTCTTTCACTTATCGTCTCGGTTCTCTTTTCCACGGTCTTGGTGTTTCAACGTTCATTCAGTCTGGCGCGATCGTCGCGTTCAGATGGGAGTTGGGTCTTTTGGGGAGGTTATAGAAGTCCACTGGGACTTTTGCAAAGAGGGATGCTGCACAGGAGCTTGCGATACGCCTCGCATGGAAGTTATCCCGACGCGTTATATCGGTCGTCTCACTTCCCGGAGTGGCGATGACCGTAAACAAACCCTAGTCGGCCTGCTGTAGCAAGTCCCCATGTCGACTGCCATCCACAACCCACCCTCCGAGCTGGCCTTGGACTTCAGACGACACCCGCCGGAGAGCACCGAACGCCCTCTCATTCCTCTATTGTTATGTCTCATCCTCCACTAATTCTGGCCCAGCCCACTACGACATCCACCAGCATCAGATTCCGGTTCCATCTTCCCCCCGTCTCTCGCTTGTCAGACATTTTCCCACTCCCCCACCACTCTATCCCTCATCTCTTGTGTTCATCCTGTAACCATTTTGTGCTCCTCCATGTTTGTTACATTCATCCCCCTCGCTTCTGTGTTTCTCGGCCTCAACCCTGTTCTGCTGTCATTTTTCAGCTTCATGAGTTTTCACCTCGGCCTTTGGTGTCCTCTTTGTTCCCCACTCCTCCTCTACATTCGGAGGGAGTTCGCGTGGGACAAGAGAGGGCTTCGGCGACGCAACCAGTCACTCTCGAGGGGCTTGCCTCGTCGCCGGGAATGTGTTATGCCTCGCCACGGCATATACGTCCTCTTTCTGGCCTGTCATGTAGTAGGAAGAAGTCAATGTAGTGCGCCTTTGAGCATGGAGCGCGACGATGCTAAGATCGGAGGTGATGTGACAATCTGTTTAGTGGTGTGTGCCAACCTCGCCTGCGATTCCCTCCGCAGAAAGTAGATCCAAGAGCTACCAGCTATGGGGCAACGGTATGATCCTTTGCAGTAACTGCCGTAAAGCCCCGTCGCAATGATTTGTGCTTGAGCTTGCCCAATATTCATCTGAGACCAGTTGGCTGAACATGTGATGTGTGATGCCATTGGGCGAGGGCTTGCAAGGACAGGTTCCCTGGTTATCTTGCGCTGGGCATTGCCTGCAATCCCTCTTCGACCAGGACGACACAACCAAAATTTATGTATCATAGGCAGGAAATAGGTGAATTGTAGCTATGCTCTTCACCAAATTGAAGCGACAAAATATTTGACAATTCAGAACTCTACCTCTCCAATCCGACTTCCACACAGTGGTTGGAGCTCGACGTCCAGATCTCTTCTTCGGTGTTGACTTCCAGAACTCTGTTTTCCCTCCTTTCAGTATTGGCATCGTAACCTTAATAAACCCTTCCGGTCTTGTTGCATCATTGGCCTTACATTTGACCCAGCGCTCTTTGACCCAGTCCCTGATGGCAGTCACGGAGTAGCTGCCGTCTAACCCAACGAGGGAGATGGCTTTTAGCCTAGGAAACAGCCAGCCAGTAGCTTCACCAGCAGCAGGGGACTTCGGGCGCCGTGTTATATACCGCAGGATGGTCTGGATATCCGCGTTCCACGAAAGAGTGATCTTCTCCACCGTGTTGGTATCATCGAATCGAGCGAGGAACTCGATTGGGTACTGGGGAGTGCGCGTGAGGCCTATTTCCAAATGAAGAGGTGTCGCGATTGGACACGCCTGCAGTACGATTTCGATTATCTGCTGTGCCACAGCCAATGTCCCCATTTGAGAAGACGCTTGGAGATACAAATTCAACCCTGGCGTATCGGGGCCCCATTGCTTTACAGATGTATTCAGCGAGAATGCCTGGGCGTTGTTGCCATTTCCAAGAGTGACGTTGATTGGTTCCAAGCCATCACAGAGAAGCGCACTTCTAATTTTCTCAACAAAGGATGGTGCGTCGTGCTGATATTCGACGTGATGATCGTTTGTCATGGTCGTTGGGGGATCCGGCGCGAGTTCGATATTCGTGCAGTTGAGGAAACAAAGTCGACTGAGAAGGTGATAGTAGGCGCCGCTGGGGATCCCGTTAAGCCGAAGTCTTCGGAGTGAGAGGAAGGGAAGGACCGGGTCTGAATTGAGTAGGGATGCTGGTGAGAGGGTAGTTTCGGTGATTGCAACATCGTTTAACGAAAAGACTTCGAGTTGCGGACAATGTGCAAGGATGCAGAGCACTTCTACGAGAGAAGGTGCGTGGGATGTATTAAGGGTAGAGAGCTGTAGGTGCGTCAAGCGGTGATTGCATCTCGAAGTCCACGTGATGCCGATGCCTGTAAGTTCCAAGTGTCGAAGTTGAACAGCGTCTGCGAGTCCCGGGCTGGGAAGTGTAGAGCTTATAACGCTTGACTTCAGCTGGAGAATCTGGAGTGCAGTAGCATCGAACTCGAGGTGGTCGAGAATGCTTCTCGGTATATTATCTCCTTCCAGAGTCTTCCACCGCGGCATTTGAGGCACGATAGACTCAACGAATATCTTCCGTTTCTGTATCACCGCGCTAGGCCATACTCCTGCTCCTTGGAAATGGATGTGTAACGGTGTTGTCCTGGACCTCTCTATCGCCAACCCGAGTTGTTTTGACGACATGAATTCTTTCAACGTCGACCAAAGTTGGGGTGTGGAGAAGACGACTTGGAGCCAGTACTTTCCAGCAGTCGCGAAGATCCGATCACCTCGGTGTGGGGGAGATGACTCCATCCATCGAGAGAGGCGAAGAGGAGTATCTGGCTCAACACCTCGACGGGTAGATTGTTGATTGGCGCAAGATTATTGTGATGATAGGCTAGCTCTGCTGCTTGATTGGCACGCTGTCGCCGAAAGGCGGTGACACTAGCGTTATGTTTTCGTCGCGTATCACTGGATTGGGTATCAGCCTCACGAATGAGAGCAGAACATGCGACTTTAACGAGCTCAGATAAGCGCCCATTCATGTTTTGTTCGGTATTCATCGTGGGTGCCATCCTTCAAGGTATGTAGGCATCAGGGCAAGAACTTTAAAAATGAATGTTAAGGAACTCGGATAGATGGGTTTCATTTGAAGCTTGCGTACTATCAAGCAAAAGAGATAGCGCCTGCTTAATAATGTTCATTTCCGGCGGATGCACCTTTTCCTCAACCATCTAAAGTACGGGGCATTAGCCGGCTGTCGTGTTGCAATGTAATTTAAAACTAATGCTCTCACCTGGCCTTCAAAGTCAGGGTACTCTATATCGTGGAGAACGCCATGGCAGGGAATCAAGGCGTATCTGCGCGAATCCAGGGAAGTCGCGGCCTCGTTTGAATAGGACCAACCAACATCTAATGTGGCGGACATACGACAACGGCCTGAGGGAACCTTGGTTGTAGGGTGCTTTGGTGCTGATAAAGCAGCAATCGAGGTCACGGTTGCAAGTTAAGAGTTTGGCAGCGAGAGCCTTGGATTCCTTTGTCTTGTCAATGTTGGAAGCGTGGAGCCTGAAGATTGTCTTGGGTTCATAATTTGTGTAATCAGGATTTATGAATTTAGACTCTTTGCATCGGAGGGGTTCTAGCTCATCGGTAGAGCGCTCCCTTAGCATGTGAGAGATATCTCATGTGGGAAACTGGGAGAAGTAATGGGTTCGACTCCTATGTACTCCACTTTTGCCGTTCTATGCAGTGTCAGATTTTAGAACACCACGCAACCCAACCTGCTTTGTTTAAGCAGCTTATACGCAATGCAAGATATGGTTGTTGATATTACTGATGGGCAGGAGCCTGACCCTTCACCCCAATGTCAGATACTGGCCACATACTGGCCACAGAATATGATCCAACCTCCGTGCATGCTGCTTCAATCACTAGAAGTAGTCTCCAGCATGAAAGCAAATTCTAGTACAGTTGAGAATACAGCGGGGCCTATGGTACATTACAAGCGAAACACGTCAATCCTTGTCATGGCGTTGGGTTTTTGGAACGACTGCAGCCCTGGCTGTCGCTCTCTTCATCCTGATTGTGGTATTTCCCTTACGTTCAGTAACCTAAGTTCAATCGTTGACCGCTAGAAGCGGGCGAAAAGGTCGAGAAATAGTTCGCTCTGAAGAAATGAAACCTTTGCACGTGAACGGCCCCAGTCGGTCGGCTAGTACTCGCCCATCGATAGCTTCCAACTCCATATCGCACCCCCTTCTTAGAATTGCTTAACCACCTCGGATCAACATAGCAAGCACGGGCAGTGTACAGTTCCTACGTTGTCCAGTTATGAAGACGACATACATCTCCAGCTGAGGAGCATGATGTGGATGCGGTGAAACCAGACTATGGATTAGGCGAGGATCATGAAGTCTCGCCTTTCCCGAGCTTAAAGTTGGCGGCCGACTCGAGACATTACAAGAGGTGTAGTGAATAGGATACAGCTCGGACCCAAGGGGGCATAGTTCTTAGGGAAAGAATCGATGATAGACCGTCGGAAGCAAGATTGAAGAGCCCCGCAATACATATATATAAGTCTTTCAATGATCTTATTCTTGCCTTTGCTTTCTATGCGTCCAAACGGCCAACCTGAGAATCGAGCGCAGGGACCAAAAATATCCCGAAATGAGGATATATGTACATACAGCAGCGATAAAGGAAGAACAAACCCATGATGGATATCTCAACAGAATAACTACAAAGGAGAAGCGAGAGAAGAGTCTCGCTGGAACGAGCTAGACCAATTTGGAGCGCCAGAAGATGAGTTTCCAGCACGGCCGCGAGATTCTGGGGTTGATGGTTCCAGATCACCTGCGCTAATGACACTCGCCGTTGAAAGATTCGAGGGGACCCGCCTGAGTGACCGCTCGCCACTGACAGCCCGCCTGCCAACCTTGACTATCTGCCGTATCCGATTCCGCTCCATGTCCTTTTTGTCTTCGAGGGTCTCGAAGCAATTGATGAGATCCTTAACGGAACTGCCAGAGCTTCGTCTTGATCTTGTGGGTGACGTAGGGCTTGGAGTTTCCTTTGGGGGTACGGGACTTAGAGAGACCAGATCCTTAGGATGAGGTGGCCGTGGAATCGGGCGGGGTGGCTCTGGTTCCACATGATTCAGGTCATCCTTTGAGTGAGACCTTCTCAACAGCTCCTCTGCAATCGGAGAGGTAGGCTGAACACGTTTACGGATTAACCGGTGGCCGTCGACGTCATCATCATCCACTTGTGCTGGCTGCGGTGTGACAGCCTTCCGCTTCTGTCCTGCCGTTGCAGCGGGTGCTACAGCCAGTGGACCTGGCTTCAATCTCATGATTTTACCTAACCCAAGAAAACCCAAGACCCGACTGGTAGCTGAAGGCGTATCGACCGGAGGAGGGGTGCGACGATCGCGAGTAGGTGGCGGAGGTGGCAGCATTTGTGTTCGCGGATTTATGATAGCTGGCGCGGGTCCTGATACTTTCCTAGCCGCAGGACGAGGAAGTCTTGAAGGCGCAAGAGGAATTCGGCTGGTGGACGCATTATTTGTGATGAAAGGCTTGAGGCGAGGTGCTGGAGAAGGGCTGTCGTTCATTTGACTGACGGTTGATGTGGGCTTGGCAGTAATAGGCTCCGCAGGAGCAGCAAAGCCAGCGATAGTCGCAGCCTCCCCATACAAGTGAGAGTATCGAGGCGCCATAAGGGAAGGCGGAAGCGGCACGGCCGGCGCCACCGCCGTCTCAGACCGCCTGACTGAGACTGTTTGGGCAGTGCTTTGATCGCTGGCTGTGTCATCCACGGACAGCGACATTGGGGTAGGCTGACGGCTGGGAGCAGGAGAAAAGGGGATCATCATCGGCGACCCGGGAATTGGACCAGATGGCGCCGAGCCTGACGGATGTTGCGTATGTCGCACGATGAGGGCCTGACACCTTCGCCGAATCTTGTCCCTATTAATGATCAGGAAATAAGTGGTTAGCCGACTTGTTGCGGGGTCACATGAGGAAATCTCACATTGTCCAGTCTCCCTCATCCTCGGAGCCGTCGACGCCCGTCTCATTCAAGAACCGCTGGACAACGTCGTCCACATTCAAAGAGGCTACATCCACCTGGTCCTCATCGGCACCTAGATCATTGGCAAGCTCCCTCCGCTCTGCGAGCAAGCATCTCTCAAGGGTCTTCCAGTCAGCCTTGCTCCAAACCAGTGGAATGAGGTCCTCCTCTGCTTCGGATGAGGCACGCACGTCGTATTCTGATGGACGAGACGACGCAGGATCAATAATAATCTGGGGAATGATTGGTCCATGGATCGGGGTCATATAACGGGCACTAACACCACCCAAGCGAGATGGGCCGGCTTGGGGCGTGCTAGGATCAAGAGACGGGAGACGATGGTGCACGGGACTGGAAACAGACACCTCTCTCTCAGCGCGCCGCAGGATATCAGCTGGTACAGGTGTTGCTGCAGCCGACTGCCAGGTGTCTGGAACCCCAGCTGACCGACGGGTTGGCGGAGTGGCAGAAACAAAGGGCGACGAGCGAGGATCGAAATCTAGGTTTGCAGCAGAGCTTCGTCGACGACGCCGTTTTCTCGCTTCCTCCTCAACATAGTCGTGATGCTAATCAACAGTGAATGATTGGTTAGCACGGTTGCAGACATTTATCGGAGGCAGACGAACATACAAGTTTCAGTATCGCAGCAGCTCTTGCAGCGACCATTGGGTCCTTACTCGTGATTTCGACGACAGGAGGTCCGTCATCATCGTCAGAGTCAGAGTCGGACTCGCTATCTCCGTCATCATAGGTGGTACCAGTCACCCTATGGACAATACGGAACCCAATTCCTTCTCCGCCCGCTTGCTGATCCTTCATATTATCGTAAAGATGAAGTTGATCGACAGGAGTGGTCTTTTCCTGGACAATCAGACGTGAAGCCTTGGGTTCGGTAGACGCATCAGGTGGATGCTCGTCAGCTACTATTTCCTTCTCCGTAGTCAACGTGGCATGCTGCGCGGCGGTCCATTGGGAGTCTGACGTAGGGTTGTTATTGCTGGATAAATTCTCATTGGGCGTAGGGGTATGTTCATCTCCAGTGAGTGTCACGGAAGCGATCTCGGGGCCGGAGCTAGAGCCCGCGGCGTTCCACCTTGTTGATGGATGTTCGTTGAGATCGTCCTCTTCCTTCGGTTCAAGATCCACCATCCTCACAAACGCCGGTGAGCTCGAAGTAACAAGAGGGATGAGTTGATCTGACTCGGGCTTTGTATCTTCTTCCATGCGGTTATCCTCGTCTTCGTCCCCACCTGATAGGTCTTCGGTAAGCTCTCGCTCAATCCGCAAAGAGTTCCGACGATCCTCCTCCTCCTCTTGTTCGTATTGATCGAATTGATCGTACTGTTCATGACTTTCGGGTTCTTGTTCTTGTTCATGATCATTTGCCGGATGTTCCTCCTCGTTATCATCATCATCTCCTTCTGGATCATCGGCTTCCATAGGACCACTGTCGGTATCAACGTCAATATCGATCCATCCACCGCGCGGTCGAAGCTGCTGCACAGACTCCTCGACGTCCTCATCGACTTGCCTCGAAGGTCTGACATCGTCCTCATCCTTTCCCTCAGCTTTGTCCTTCACGTCTTCTGGTTCAAAGATCGGTCGACCCAACGGCACCACCGACTCTTCTTCGTCTTCGTCGAGCCTTGGGAGCCTCCCTCGCGTCGGACCTCTCCCTTTCTCCGGCGATAAACTCCCTAGGTCCTTTCCCATATACCGCGGTGAAGGGTAGGCGGGAGTCCCATCCTCCATCAGAGTCTGTTTAGAAGGACTCTTGTGTGACATTGAGAGGGAGAGAGTGCGACTACGTCGCAGCGCAAACCCAGCTGGAGTGGCCGGAGCAATATTCAAGGGGCCAGGGCTGGCTCGGATTATCGAAGGAACCGAGGCGGAAGGTGCAGCTCGGGGGGTAGCTGAGGTCATCAGGGCCGACGACGAAGTCAGACGTCCTGGGGTACGATCTGTATTGACTAGCGACTGTTTGTTCATAGAGCGTCGTGGCTTCCCAGGTGTATTTTCTAGCAGGGGACCCGGCGTCTCTTCGCGCTGCGAGACAGCACTCGATCGCCTACGGCGCGAAGGCGGTGAAGCCGTTCGAAGCGGTACAGTGAACTCATGAATTGGTTTGTCACCATCAATGTCCATACCCGAAAATGAGCTATCCGGATCTCTGGCCGCGCCGGTTCCGAAAACGTCGGTCAGGTCGTCATCGTCAGTACCTTCCTGAGTCAAGAATTCAGGGAAGATTGGTCGCTTCGACTGAGAGGAGCCAGTTTGCTTTTCGTTCGCAGCAGGTGGAGTTGGTGATGAAGAGAGTGACGCTTCCCATGCGGGTTCAGATGCCTTTGCGCCGCTACTCTCGGCTACTCCCTCAATTGAACCAAAGGAAAGGTCCTCCGCCTCAGCCTTGATTTCCGCATTATCTGAATGGCCTGCAAACATGGGTTTCCATGGAACAGGAACCCAGGTATCCGGTCCTGCCAGGAGAAGAGGGTCCTCCCCGTCGCTTTCGGGTTCCATGGCATCTAGGCTGAGCGGGGCAAGTTTCCGACCGCGCTGGCCGTTTGGTGCCCGCTTTCGAGAAACACGCACAGACGAAGCAGTGGTAGACGTCATCTTCGGAGCCGCTTTCGCTCGTGTCGCAGGCTTCTCTGTCTTAG